AAGAAAAATAATTATGGTATTTTGAAAAAACGTGTCACATTTCTTATAATTAACTAATTTAACTAACTTCTTTAATCTAATCAAATTAATTAAATGGGTCTTATATTAAGGACCGGAAGAATCGTATGGCAACATCACACTTCAACAGATGGACCATGATATGCAAAATTTATCGTGCACAAAAAAAAAATAGTACAACTACTTGTTCTAAATACAGAATTGGTTTGTGATGATTCTAAACATAAAATTTTAATTTATTATTCGCTATCTACCAAATTTATAGTAGCTTTTTAAACTATCCCTATTAGTTATACATATTAAGAGGGTGTTAAGAAATAATTTCAATATAAATAATTAAAAATAATATTTTAGATAATTCAACATGCATTTTTTTAAATAACTATATTTACAAAAATTTTAAATTTATAAAAAAAATTAATTATTTCATTTCTACGTTTAGGATATAAGAGAATATTTCACTAACTTTGTAAGGCGTAAGCTCTCGGAACTTAATTGATCTAATTTTGTTGTTGTTAAAAAATTTTAGTAATTGCTTTCAAACTAGAATCTTAACAATATAATGGCGGTTTCTTTTATAGGGGCAAAGTCCCAACGATAATCAAATTAAGCAGGGAACTTCATCAGGCTTGGTTCACCTTGGTAAGTGCTTTAGAAAATAGGGTTTTATAGATGACCTTTTTAATTAATAGTTAATCATCAGTTTTGGGGGGAAAAATGTCTGCACCTTTTTCTATACTCAACAAAATCTCTCTCTCTATATATATATTTCATATAAAAATAGTGATTAATTAGTCCACTTTTAAGAGAATTTGTAAGAATAGAACTTTCAATTTCAAGAGTACTCATCAGTGATTACCAGTTTCATAAGTTTTGATGGTAATTCATTGAGATCCCTGCAATGAACAGAATCTAAGTGCTTTATACTTTTTTAAAAAAAAAAGTTGTCTAGAGTATCTTTCTGCCCGAACGGTAAGAGACTAATCTCTCTGAATACTTTCAAGTGCAGTAGTGGGGACCCCTTCTAACAGTATTGTTTCCATACACACCATCCCAAAGATTAAATTTAGAATATGATATTTAAGATGTCCAAGTCCATTCTATATTTGTAGCTGTAAATTTTCAAATTTCCTTTACAACTTCAAAATGGATTGACTTGGGCCCCTCGGTTATAGTTCCGTAGTTGGACACTTGGGCCAATCAATTGGCCCAAAAGGCCAATGGTTTTCCAATTATTTTTGGGTAATGCCCAAGAGACTTATGATAGCTGTTTTAGAAGTGGTGGGTGCTTACTTAAGAGTTAATATCCCTCTGATGTTCAATGTAAAAACTTTAGAAAGCTAATTTTGATCTTAAATATAAAATTTTAGTTTATTTTATTTTTATATTTATTATTTTTTCAAATTAATTTATCTAACTCATAAACTAATTATAGTATAATGTTACATAAAAATAGTTTTCAAAAATCATCTCACATTTGTTAGAATTAAGTAATTTATTTAGCTATTTTAATCTACATAAATTATTTAATAAATTCTTATATTAAGAGCAAAAATGTATTTGTTTTAAGTAAGATGACATTTAAGACCTCATGATAACATTAATTATAGTTAAGGATCCTAAAATTTTGATTTTAATTTTAAACATGGTTCTTGGCTGGAATTAAACTTTCTCTGAATGAATTTGTTTTGTATTCATCTTTCGTATTTTAAGTTCTCATCTTTTACATTTTCAATAGTCACTTTCAGTATTTTCATTACTCAATTTTTATTTTTAATAGTCATTTAAAATATTTTTTATACTACTCATGAAAAAACTGCAAAATTAGGTACTCAAAATATTAAAGAAGACTACTGAAAACGTAAAAGGCAAGTAAAACATTTTAATTACAGTCAAGAATAATATTTTTAAATTTCAATATATATTAAAATTCTTAATTGTGATTAATATTCTCAAGTCCTTAAATATCGTTTTCCATTCATTTTAGAACACACACAAATTTATAAACTTAAGGTATGTTTTATCAATCAAATTAGAATAAATATATGTAATGTTTAAAAATAACTTAAGAATTTTAACAAAAAAAGTTAGTGACAAAATAAGTTTGGCATAAAATAAATCACAAAACTTTAGTGAAGGGTATTAGGAGACAAATTCATGATTAAATTTACAAGTGTACATAACATTTTAATAATTTTTTCCGTCAGCTTATTTTAATAACTAACAGTAACAAAATAATAGGTTTTCATATTTTATTGGTGAATTTATAAGTGTATATATGTATTTCAACAACTAACAATAACAAAATCACAAGTGTTTATATGAAAATTTAGAAATCTTAAATTACCCTATAAGAACTAATAAAATTTTTTACAAGTGTTCATAGATAAATTTTACAAGTGTATATAAACATTTTAACAAGTAATAACAATCAAAATGACAAGTGTGATGAGAAAACTTAACCCAATAAATATAAGCAACTTAAAGTTTTATCCTAAAATAAATATACTTGTGTTTAATTTAATTATGTAAGTTGTTTTTAGGTTAACCATTTGTTAATATCTAATACAGAATTAGTTTTATTTCAAAAATATATTCTAATCCTTATGAATTTTACTTGAATTTTTGTTTTGCTTAGTTTTGATTTAATTTTGTAAAATTACATTGAACTTATGTTTTCTACCTTAGTGATTTTTTTTCAAACTTTATCTTCTATTTCACATTTCTGGTTAATTTATTTTATCATGGTTTAATTTTTAAATTTTAAAATGACATCTTTGAATGATATCTTTACATGATTAATTGCCAATGGAAGTCCAATGATATCCGGTGATCTATGGAGCTTTCATCCTTTTATGAGATCAAACTTGTTATTTAGTAGTAGTACTACCTCCGGTCCTTAATATAAGACCCCGTTTGACTTTTTGTTTGGTCCTAATTATAAGACCCCAATCCAATTTTTCTCTCATATTTATGCATTTTTTTCCAAGATAGTCCTTCTAATAATGATAGTTCTAACCAATACACTTAATTAGCAAGGATATTTTAGGAATAACAACACTTATTTATTACAAATAACTAACTTAACTTACTTCCTTAATCTCATCAAATAAGTCAACTGGGTCTTATAATTAGGACCGGAGGTAGTATTTAAATAAATCGCCTTATAGAACATTCTTATATAACTTTTAGATAAGTTGATGCAATATATTTATTTCATTATATTTTCTATGAATGCTCCCTTAAAAGAAAAGGCGAATATTCAGATACGTAAATAGGAGTTCTAAGAGAAGTAGTAAAAATAAAAATTATTGTTCTTTAATATAGTTAAAATAATGTCACTTGGCTGAAAATTATCTTAGATTATCTAATAAATATATTTATTAATTCCTATCTCATATAATTATGATCTTTCTCATATGAAGAAACTATCAAAACTTGAAGGCTTGCCTCCATTTTTGAAGTTGTCTCTCTTGGCTCTGTTTTCTGACTCACAATTGTGCTTCTGATGACCTCCCTTCGCTACACAAATTGATAAAATTATTAAACTTGAAAATTTAAAATATAATTAAAATATAATCCGGACCATTTAAGATCTAATCTAGATAGTTCATATTCAAAATCTTTAATTTACTATCTTTTCAATGATAGATTTATTTATTTTTTTAAAGAAAAGTTAGTTATAAATTTTTGTTAATTTTAAATTCTATATCTTTTAAAATAAAATAAATTAAATTAAAAAGTTAAATTGAATCTGAACTACCTAAAATCAATTTTAATGGTCTACATTAAGATGAACCTTTCCTATTTATCTTTTTAATAAGCATGAAATATACTTAAAAAAAACTTAATTATGTGGTTGTGATTACAGTTACAGTCAAACACACGTGGTTACAAATTGAAAGATAGTGAGGATCTATCGTCCAAAAACATAGATGACTAAGTCATTGGCACCATTTTATCAGATAAATCAATGGAAAAAAAATGACAATAAAAGAAGAAAAGAAATCGGTTACAAAAGAGACCAAGTGTGTGATGGAGATAAAAAAGAGAGAAGAGTGAATGGAAATGAGAGATTTTAGTGTGAAAGAGAAAATACAACACTAATGAATCGGGCTACTCTATTATATAAGATCTGTTCATCGTGAAACAATAAGTGGAACTTGTTCACTAACTATATCATTTGTATAAAACAAGCTTCTTTAACTTAGCTGTAGAATCAACCATGGCGGGCCTTGAAGAAATCAAGAAAGAAAATGTTGATCTTGTACGTTTGTTTTGATACAACAATAATGTATATTCCAGATTTTGATTTCTTCTATTTGATTATTCTTCTCTGCGAATTTATATATAGGAATGCCTTTGTTTGTGCCCTTGCAGGAACGAATACCGGTGGAAGAAGTGTTTCGTGAACTGAATTGTACAAAAGAGGGTCTCACAAATGAGGAAGGCCAAAAGAGATTGGCAGTTTTTGGCTACAACAAGCTGGAAGAAAAGAAGGCAATTCTCGGCTCATTATATATATATATATATATATATATATATATATGTTAATTCATTTTCTTAAGTCCTCCATCTGTTTTGATGAAAGGAAATCTAATCCATGTAATTGATTTTGAGAACAGGAAAGTAAATTGCTGAAATTCTTGGGGTTTATGTGGAACCCTCTATCATGGGTGATGGAAGCTGCTGCGATCATGGCCATTGCGTTAGCTAATGGGGGGGTAACACTAATTTAATCATTAACTCTGCATTAATTCTTCAAACGCTAATTAAGCCTGCGTTTGAATAAATACAATTCTGATTAATCTCCAAATAATGATATTGGGGATAATTTATAAAACCAAATCTTACATGAGATATCTCCTGCAAATCAAAATTTGCAGGGCCAACCCCCAGATTGGCAAGATTTTGTTGGAATAGTGGTGTTGTTGGTTATCAACTCTACCATTAGCTTTATAGAAGAGAACAATGCAGGAAATGCGGCTGCAGCACTCATGGCAAATCTTGCTCCAAAAACCAAGGTCCGTCGAGATGGAGCATTTGTTGAGCAAGACGCTGCTATATTAGTGCCGGGAGATATTATCAGCATCAAGCTTGGAGACATTATCCCTGCAGATGCTCGTCTCTTGGAAGGTGATCCTCTCAAGATTGATCAGTCTGCACTTACTGGTGAATCATTGCCCGTCTCAAAGAATCCAGGTGATGAAGTTTTCTCTGGCTCCACTGTTAAGCAAGGTGAGATTGAAGCTATTGTGATTGCCACTGGGGTACACACCTTCTTTGGTAAGGCTGCTCACTTAGTGGATAGCACCAACCAAGTAGGACACTTCCAAAAGGTAAGACTAGGTTTCTGCATTTTTTTACTTTTTTTTCCTATATGAATGTTGTTATGAACCTCTATTTTAGAATTAATCCCTAATGTTGAGGTTGAGTTCATCTGAGCAGGTGTTGACAGCAATTGGAAACTTCTGTATTTGCTCCATTGCTGTGGGGATCATTGTGGAAATTGTTGTCATGTACCCTATTCAGCACCGCAGGTATAGGGATGGGATTGATAATCTCTTGGTGCTTCTCATTGGAGGGATTCCCATTGCCATGCCAACTGTCTTGTCTGTAACAATGGCTATTGGTTCGCATCGCCTTTCTCAGCAAGGAGCCATCACCAAGAGGATGACTGCCATTGAGGAAATGGCAGGCATGGATGTTTTATGTAGTGACAAGACTGGCACTCTAACATTGAACAAGCTCACAGTTGACAAGGCCCTAGTTGAGGTAATTATATGGTTTACAAGATACTCAGATTCATTTATATTTTGAAGGTATTATTTAAGATGGTCACTTACTTGAGAATTCTTCTTATTTTCTAATCTTTTGTAGGTTTTCGAAAAAGATATCGACAAAGACATGTTAATTTTGCTTGGAGCTAGGGCCTCTAGAGTGGAGAACCAGGATGCTATTGATGCTTGCATTGTTGGGATGTTGGGCGACCCGAAGGAGGTATATATCCTCAGAATATTAATTTCTGGATATTTAAAGCATTAGCCTCTACTATGTGGTAGTCTGCCTGAATTATAAATGGATCTTGAATTGGGCAAAGACAATATTATATTATAAACAACATGCTGCCCAAGTTCAGGAGGATGAGAATATTGCAGTATCATACTTGGAATATAAGAAAAGCTCAAAATTCATGTACTTGCATTATAGATGAGTTGATTTAATGAAAAATTGTTGCTACAGGCTAGAGATGGAATCCAAGAGGTGCATTTCCTTCCCTTCAATCCAGTGGACAAGCGTACAGCCATAACTTACATTGACTCTGCAGGCAATTGGCACAGAGTTAGCAAAGGTGCTCCAGAGCAGGTAAATATAATGCACATTGAGATAGGTTCTCTTGTTTCCTTGAAACTTCTCCATAATCTTTTTGAAAAATTTATTCCAGATCATAACACTCTGCAATCTCCGGGGTGATGTGCTGAAGAGAGCTCATGCCATTATTGATAAGTTTGCCGAGCGTGGTCTTCGATCTCTTGCTGTTGCTAGACAAGTAAGCAGTGATAGCTTGCCATGGAAGCTATTATGAGTCAACTAAAATTTGTTATGTGTGTGATTGTATACTTATAGGAAGTGCCGGAGAAGACAAAGGAAAGTGCAGGAGGACCATGGCATTTTGTGGGTCTCTTGCCTCTCTTTGATCCACCTAGACATGATAGTGCAGAGACCATCAGAAAGGCTCTCGGACTCGGAGTGAATGTGAAGATGATTACCGGTGACCAATTGGCTATTGGTAAAGAGACAGGTCGCAGGCTTGGCATGGGAAGCAACATGTACCCTTCTTCCTCTCTCCTTGGTGACCACAAGGATGAGTCCATTGCTGCTCTTCCTATTGATGAGCTTATTGAAAAGGCTGATGGGTTTGCTGGCGTCTTTCCTGGTAAAGAAATAAAATGATTAAGATCACTATTATTGTTTATTAACCATGCAAAAACTAATTGATTAGTTTAGGTATAAAAATATTTTCTACTGAAATTACCGGTGGATTTTGTGAAATGAAGAGCACAAGTACGAGATTGTCAAGAGGCTGCAAGATAGGCATCACATTTGTGGGATGACTGGAGATGGTGTGAATGACGCACCGGCCTTGAAGAAAGCAGATATTGGAATTGCAGTGGCTGATGCAACTGATGCAGCTCGAAGTGCGTCTGACATAGTCCTGACAGAACCAGGTTTGAGTGTGATTATAAGTGCAGTGTTAACCAGCAGGGCTATTTTCCAGAGGATGAAGAACTACACCATTTATGCCGTCTCCATAACAATTCGTATTGTTTTGGGATTTATGCTCCTTGCTCTTATATGGAAATTTGATTTCTCACCTTTCATGGTACTGATCATTGCTATCCTCAATGATGGGACCATCATGACCATTTCCAAGGACAGAGTCAAGCCATCTCCAATTCCTGATTCCTGGAAGCTCAATGAGATTTTTGCTACTGGCATTGTCCTTGGTGCTTACCTTGCTGTTATGACTGTTGTCTTCTTTTGGGCTGCTCACGCATCTGATTTCTTCACAGTACATAACAGAGCTCTAAACTTTCTTACATAACTTTATTTAAATAACAACATGTTCCATAGTACTTAACCAAATGTAATGAATTATTGGCAGGAACATTTTGGAGTTAGATCTATCAGGCACAGCAATGATGAGCTTACTGCAGCTGTTTACCTTCAAGTGAGTATAGTGAGTCAAGCTCTCATCTTTGTCACTCGTTCAAGGAGCTGGTCATATGTTGAACGTCCTGGTCTTTACCTTGTTGGAGCCTTTTTCTTAGCACAATTGGTAAGTCTCAACAAAAAGAAATCCAACCCTCTTACTTCACTCTAAATTATTCGTTCTTAAAAACAAGATTTCTAAGCAGCATTTTCTTGTTCTTGGTTGATTTATGATCTAGATTGCGACCTTATTAGCCGTGTATGCAAACTGGGGCTTTGCAAGGATTAAAGGAATTGGGTGGGGCTGGGCTGGTGTGATTTGGCTCTACAGCATCATCTTCTACATTCCTTTAGACATCATAAAGTTCATCATCCGATATGCATTGAGCGGCAAGGCCTGGAATAACATTACTGAGACCAGGGTATTATATCATTCAAACGCTCCCTACTTGTATTGAATAGAAGAAATAAAAGATCAAATCTATAATGACATGTTTGGATGTTCTGATGCAGACTGCTTTCACAACCAAGAAAGACTATGGAAGGGGTGAGAGAGAAGCACAGTGGGCTGCAGATCAACGCACAATGCACGGATTGAATCCTCCTGAAGCAGATGATATCTTGAAGGACAAGACAGATTACAGAGAACTCACTGAAATTGCAGAACAAGCAAGGAAACGTGCAGAAGTTGCAAGGTAAAAACCAAGGACAACTGAAATTGTCTTCCTTAATTTTAAGGTGAGTAGTATGCAATTGGAACCAAATTGATGAATTGTGTTGTTGCGAAGGTTGAGGGAGCTTCACACACTGAAAGGGCATGTGGAGTCTGTGGTGAAGCTGAAGGGACTTGATATTGAAACAATTCAGCAGCACTACACTGTGTGAAGGAAGCAAGCAATGAAATGCATGCTCATAGACATAAGATCATAGGAAAGATTATTATATTCTTTTCCTATATTTTTGACCTCATTTGGTTTTTAAGCTGCTTAAGCTTTTTGTAATAATCCAACGTTAGGAGATTGTGAAAGACAATCCAGTGTTGGAGTTAGAGAGACCAAATGACTCTGTTGCAATTGTTACTTATTATATGAATATGATTATTTATTATTTTCTATTCTTATGTTCCAGATATGAAATAATCAGCCATTCTCAAATTGTTTTCTCCAGCAGGTAGATGATAATAATTATGGAAAAGAAAGGGTCAAAGAAATATATTTTATTGGGATGACTAAAAAGTATAGGAATATAGTGGGAGAATGGAATCTCAAAATACTCCAGTATGTTCCACTTTTTGGACTCAAGTCTGGTTGACAAATGTGCAAAGAACTTTAATATTTACTTGTTTTTGGTCAAACTCTTGTCCGTGGCTTGATCTCATGGGCAATGGGTTGAGTGTTGATGGGAGAAAATGAAAACCCACATGATTCTACGCCTAATATTCATCCAAATTGATCAAATCAATTTTGTTAATAATTATCCAAAGTTCTTCAGTACCTCACCCATTCATTAATGCATGTTTGAGTTTGTTGTTTTATTTCCTTTTGATGTTCTCAGAGATTAGAAGTTCAAAACTTACTTTTAGACTCTTAAAACCCAGTCGAAACCAAAGATCATATTTGATTTAGTATTAGAAGCAAATAATTTTTTTTCTTCAAAAAGCCAGTTAGGTTGAAAGCCAAGTTAAAGCTTCTGAAATTGACCTTTTTTAAAAAGAAAAAATTGGTTATTCTTTAATGAAAAATATGTTTTAACATGCCTTTTTTAAATAATTTTTAATGTTATTCTTTTAATTTTATACTTATATTTTTATTCATTAACTATATCCATTTTTCTACATTCAAATCTGTTTTTCAATTAAATCATTCAAATAGTTTTTAGTTTGTAAAACTACTAGTTTTATAAAAATGTATCCAAATATATATATTTTTTGCCAATAATATTCGAATGTAATTATATCACACATATTTACCTCAACTTCAGTTTACAAAATACAATTGAATTAAACTTCAATTTTATAAAAGTTAATCTAATTAAGCTATAATTTGTTTCATCCTTCTTTCCCTTCCTCTCCCTGACATGCTGATGATGCCATGCCCAAACTACTTATACGAATATACTAATACTCTTTTCCTTTCTCATTACAAGGTCCAAATAATTTAATTGTATGGTTTAAAAAATTATTAAATTTACTTAAAAATTAAATATATAAAAAATATATGTACTTTTTCTTTCTAATATGTCATCACTAGTAAGAAAATGAACAAGGGAGAATGTATTGGGAAAAAAATGATGAAAATAAAATTGTATTTAATATTGGGAGGAAAAAATGAAACTTATAACAAGGGACGAAGGTGTTATTTATGAAGCTTATCCAAAAAAAAAATTTAAAACAAGGAAGGAGAAAGGTAGTTTTCATTAGTGAAATAGGCACATAAAACTAGGCACCTCCCTCTCAATTCTCATAACTTGGGTTATTGATGACACATGCCAATTAAATTCTTTTGAAAGGCGTAAACTAAATTCCGGTCTCTCTCTTCTTCTTATCCCTCCCCTTCCCATGCATTTAAACTCTGTTGCCGAGGCTGCATTGATTCAGCAGGCCATTGAAATGAAACCAAACTTGCTGATTCCAGCTCTGCTCTCTCTTCTTCTCCTTCTTCTTCCGTCGTCCTCACTTTCACAAGATACAGTATCTCCTGCCAATCAACAACTGAAACAACTCATTCTCAGAAGATCCAGACATGGCGGAGGAAGAAGCAGAGCATTCAAGTGCGACCCCTTTTATGTTTATCTTTTTGGTATCTGTGGTCGCTGGCCTTTTCCTACCTATCCTTCCCCTCACAATCCCTTTCAACCACTCCCACCACCGTCTCCTCGTCGGAATCCCCCACCCCGTTTCCCACATTCTCCTCCGCTGCTGCCCCTTGTCCCATCACCCCCACCACCGTCTCCGCCGTTAGTTCCGGCACAGCCTCCCTTGGTTCCTTCGCCGCCTCCTCCTCCCTTGGTTCTGTCTCCCCCACCGCCTCCTCCCTTGGTTCCTTCGCCGCCGCCGCCGCCGCCGCCTCCGCCTCCTCCCATGGTTTTCCCACCGGGGCTGATTATTCCGCCACCGCTTGTCTTCTCTCCCCCACCATTTCCAGGTATACCAGAACCGCCCGTATTTCCATGGCTACCACCTCCTCCTGATATATTCACCGATCCTCCACAGAGGCCACAGAGCTTCGTTTTTCCACCACCGGGTTTCCCCTCCGCTGGTTTTACCCAGGCACCGCGCCTTGTCCCTGAACTCCTACAGCCGCCGGAGCCACCTCTCCTGTCAACTCCTCCGGCGCCGAAGAGCTTTGTTCCAGTCCAAACGTCGCCACCACTAGTAGTGTTGCCACCTTCTCAGCTTCCACCGCCATCTAATTCACCTCTCTTCCGAGAATGAGATTTGCGTCATCAGCAAATCTATATAATAGTACTGTTTATGTTCTCATAGTCTCAGCATTAAAACTTAGTATGAGTATGCCGCTCACATCCAATTAAAGTCTATCGTTCGTTGTTGGTCTCTCCTTCCCCCCCCCCCCCAAGTTATGTGTCCTGACAGTCCTGTTATATTAATTTTTTCCTGGTTCTAATTAAATTATATTACCTTAATCAAATATGAATCTGTATTCATATGTAACTAATTTATTATTTGTCTATTATAACATTGGTTTGAGTCAGGCTATTAATGGTCATGAACAATTAAAAAAAATCATTTCGAGCTTATAGTCATTAATAATAGTCGTGAAAGGAGTTTTTATTCTTCTTCGTCAATAAAATTAAAGGAAATAATGAGCTTGTGTTTTAAAACCACTATCATGTTCCTATTATTAGATACATCAATAATAAATAAATTATGTGTACACTTTTCTTTTCTTTTCTTTTTCTCGCCTAAGGATGACATGTTTATGTACTCCTTTAATTCTTAAACGTAAGAATATATATGATGATTCTATCTTGGCAAAATGAATCTTTGATTTTCTAAAAAATATTTAAAACCATTAACTTCTCAATTAGAGTGACTGATTTATCCTAGGGATGGTAATACGGGCTAACCCATGTGTTGTAGATTAGCCTGTGATGAGTTCAACACATATGGGTCGAGTTGAAAAGTATTGTTTTAATGCAGGTTGGTGAATTGGCCTGACAATAATTATTTTTTTAAATTTTTCTTTATCTTTTAATATTTTTTATTCAATATTTAAAAAAATATAATGAGAATTTTATTTTTTTCTTGAAATATTTGATTGGAAGCACCAAATAAATTATATAGGTATTTTTTTTAATTTTTTAGATATAATATAATTATAATAATTTTTAAAAAAATAAACACAGTTCAGCTCGCAGGTTAGTGGGTTAACCCGTGACAGGTTGTGGGTCTGGCGATGTGAGTTAGAAAATTTTGTTTATCAATAGGTTGATAGTACGTAGAGCTAGTAATACGGGCCAGCCCGCTGATTACAGGCTGGCCCGTGGTGGGCCTGAAGACATGCAGTTCGATCTTTTTAGGACCGCCTTCTAGCGGGCTGGGATTTTTGCCAAGGTGGATTGGCTCGTTAGGCCTGCCAACCAGCCAAATTTTTTAAATTTTTTTCTTTTAATAAAATTTATTCAAATTCCTAAATATCTAAAATAAAACATGTAAATATAGAAATTATAAAAAATAAAACATAGAATACAAAGTTTAAACTTTCAAATATCTCAAAATATTAAACATGATTACATAATCCATCCAAAATGATTTAATAAACACTCAAATTAAAACATAAATCCAAATTAACAACAGTACAACACTACAAAGTCACAAATATAATGTGTCAAGCACTTAATCATAACTCATGACTCTTACACGGTGCATTCTATTCAAAGGAAAAAAAAAAATTTTAAAAAAAGTAAAACGGGCTGGCCCGCCAACCCTGCGGATTAACACACCACAGTTACGCGCTTGACAGTTATGAGTTCAAAAGATCTATTTTTAAACAGTCTCCATTTTAATAAATCCAACCCGCCACAGCCCCGCTGTAGTTGATAGGTTGGATTTATAAGTTCAACTCATATATTACGGGTTCTAATTTGTCCTTCGCGTAGCCTCTTCTGGTTGTAGTTGACACGTGCACTACATGACTCAGACACTACGCTCTCTGACACACGTGTCGTCTATGGCCTTTTTTATTTCTTCGGCCAACAGCTTTTCCTGTTTTCTTTTTTTCTTTTTTTTTGGCGCCAAACTGTCCATGCCCGTATGCCGTCCATTTAATTATCAAGTTGGAGATGTGTGTAATAAAACTTGCATATATAGCTATAACAAAAAAAGATTTAAATATTTATATATTTTTTAATCTGGCACATAATTATATACATATCATCAAAATTTAACAACAATATAATAATCATGTTATTTTTCAATTTATTACAATTACAATTAGGAATATATGTGACTGAGTCTTTTAAATAATCGGGATATATATAGTTCTCTTTTATTGGCATATTTGATAACAAAAACACAAGAAGTTAGATCTAATTTTAGTTTGCAAAGAAAAATGAGAACTCTTTTTATGTAATTAAAATGGATTGTGGTATTTAATTCTTACAATGAGATAAGGATTACGTATTTGATACTTGATTTTTTCCTTTAAAAAATATTTTGGGCATATTAAAATGAAAGTCATGCCTCTTAATTGATTAGATATACACTTATACAGGATCGATTAGCTGAACATAGTCAATAATTATTTATATGATACGAATTCAAAGCAAAATTATTATAATATTAGAAAAATTATCAATTCCGATCCCTTGATGGATAAATTTTGAAGTTATTAAACTAATAAAATAACAAGCTATAGTAGCATGTCAGAAATGCTAAAAGAATTGCGTATGATTCGATCAATATCAATTGAAAATAATTCAAACTACAGGAGCGGAATGAGATATCATGGGGTGCGGTTCAATGATGGCTAAGATGCAATGCTTTTCCGCAAACAAAAGACACTAAAATGCTTTTTCTCTCTCTTTTAATTTGTGGTCTCAATAGTTTATTCATTATATATATATATTTATATACAGCCTCAATTGTTTTAAAAATAACTATATTATATTCTTTCAGCAGTTCCAAACATATTAGACTCATCTAGTTCTAAATATAAAACCCTTTTCATAGTGTAAATTACACTACAAAAAGGGTCTTATATTTAGGACCGGAGGAGTATTACTTTATATTTAAATTTTATATATTTTGAATTTTTGTCCTGAATATTTTTGGTTAATATTATAACTTAATTAAATTGAAAAATATCCTTAAAATATTTGACTAAATATGTAAATCACCTTATGAGTTTTTGTAAAATTACAATTATTTTGAAAAAATAAAAATTGTAAAGTGATTTTGAAAAATAGGGATACTAATTTAGGTATCTTGTGAAAAGTTTACCTAATTCACCGATGCTTAATAATGGCAGTATGATATAAGTTACTCCTCATGTCCTTAATATAAGAACTAATTGTTGATTTTTTGATTTGCTGAATATAAGACCTATTTTTCATATTTATTAATTTTTTCTAAATTATCTCTATGGATACTTCTCAACCATAATCAAGTAGAAGAAGAAGAGATGATATTAAGAAAGATGATTATGGTATTTTAAAAAAAACATGTCATATTTCTTATAATTAACTAACTTATCTAATTTTTTAATATAATCAAATTAGTTAAATAGATATTATATTAAGGACTGGAGTATAAAAATTTTTTGTCACTAATTAATTTTACATGTTGCATTAATTAAAAGATTGATAACTTGACATACTGCAATCTTTTTTTATATTTTCTCTCATTATTACTTTATTTCTCCTTTTTACTTACCCCCTATAAATAAGGACATACTTAAAAGATAAAATTCATTTATATCATTTTTATTACTTTTAACTAATTTTAACTATTTTGTTAAATCACATAATTCAGTTACTAGACTCTTATAAAAAAGATAGGAGGGAGTATCTCATTTTTTTAGCATACTTTCTTTCGTGTATTTCCCCCTACTCATTCTCTCTTTTATCTGCTCTGCTCATAATTAAGGATATATTTTTAAAAATATATACTTTCTCCTGTTCAAAATATAAAATACATTTAACTGATTTATGTTTATCAAAAAAATCGGTTAAAAGAATAATAAATATGTAAGACATGTATTTTTTTAAATATGTCTTTATTAAAGCAAAGAATAAATAAAAGCTACAATAAATAAATCTAAAAAAAAGAAAATATATGGAGGCAATGTTAAAGGAAAAAAAATCACATTAGATACTTAGACAAAACTAAAATCTAACTTTGAAAAAAAAAAAACAGAGCCCTCTTAACAAAATTTATCTTGTATTTTCACTATTTTGAACGGGAGAGAGTATTTATTATATTTTTATATTTTATATTTTTATATTTTTTATTTTTTTAAAAAAAGAAACTGCTGAAGGCTGGCAAAATGGCTCTCTAATTCACCGTAACCGGAAGTGGGGACACTTGGAAGATCCTGGTGGGCATGCGATGGGAGCCACGCGGCCCCATAGCGAACCGAAATTTGGATGTTTCTCATGTTTGATTTCAAGCTCACGCGCTCTCAATGAAGGGCATGTCACGTGCTGTAGTTGAGCGGGTGACGATCAGGTGGTTTGGGTTCGGTGGAGATTTAGGTGGCGAAAATAGACCGACAGCGAATGGAAAACGAAAGCTGATTCCAATTTTAAAAAATCATTTTCTCAAACACAGTAATTTGTAAAAGCGAAAGCAAAATTAAAAGTGGAAATTGCAAAAAGAGCAAAAAGAAAGGGTACAGAAGTTTGCATCTGGGCATCTCTCTTGGGAAAAAAGGGAAAGTGCCGCGCTGCTTCTTTTATTTTATGTCAATCATCATAAGAATTACAACAAGGTCCAAAAAAAACTACTCTCCGATCCTAATTATAAGACCCAATTGACTTATTTGAGGAGATTAAGGAAGTAAGTTAAGTTGGTTATTGTAATAAATAAGTGTTGTCATTCTTAAAATATCCTTGCTAATTAAGTATATTGGCTAAAACTATCATTATTAGAAGGATTATCTGGAAAAAAATATATAAATAAAGAGACAAAATGGATTTGGGTCTTATAATTAGGACCAAATAAAAAGTCAAATGGGGTCTTATAATAAGGACCGGAGGAGTAATTATTAAAGAAATCTCAGTAGCAACTTAAACAATTTGTAATGACAACTTGTGAGACTCGTTTTGTAATTTTTTTTTTTTTAAGATCTCATTATAATTCTCCTTTCAGGTTACCCAAATACTATTTTTGGTTCTAATTATAAAAACTAGTTGACTAATTTGAAGAGATTAAGGAAAGAAGTAGTTAATTAGTTATTCGTAATGAATATGTATTGTCTTTCCTAAAATATCCTTGCTAATCAAATATATTAGCTAGAATTACCATTGTTAGAAGAACTATCTTGAAAAAAAATACATAAATATGAGAGACAAAATGTATTAAGGTCTTATATTTAGAACTAACATAAAAGCCAAACAAGATTTTATATTAAAGATCGGAGATAGTACTTGAGATATGGGAAGCAAAACTCCGTTTCATAGAAGTGAAAAATATTTACTGAAAATTGAGTTTCTAAAACTATGTTTAGTTTTAGCCACCCTTCTTGTTGGGTTCAGCGATTGAAGAGCAAGACAAACTCGCTAAAAGAAGCAGCTTTGATTCCCAAGATTGCTACAGCATTAGGGAGGCATCTCACACCACTCGTGAAGCATGGACAAACATTCTGTTCTTGACTTATATGCGAGCCTAACCTCCTATTCAGAAATTGTTATACAAAAAAAGTAGATATTAGCCTCCTAAACCCAAGCTGATGTAGGAGTTCGGATTTACTTATAGTAGATAATTAAATAACTGATTTGTATGTATTAAGAAAGTTAATTGAGTTATTGGTTTATTAAAAATAGTGTTAATTTTTCTAAAAGAAAATATCTCATCTTTACATTTGAGTTAGAAAGCGTAAACTATCCTAATTGATGGAAACTCTCTTGTATAGACAATTAATAGGAATAATTCTGAAAAACAATTATAAAACTTCATAAACAAAACAAAACAAAAATAAATCTATCAATTCACTCTTATATTTATGATCCGAGCATGAAGACATCTAAACATTTCTTGATTTTATTCTTATGTGTCTAAAAAAGTGCATTTTTGTGCAATAATTCTTGGCATGGGGAGCCTTTTACTTAATCTAAGAAAAAGAACAAAGTTGGAAAATGTACATGCAATCATAATTTAGGGTTTTTTTCGGTGTTAAGGTGTATTTAGCATCATGAAGTATTTTTTCATGTATATATAATATCCTAAATATTTATAATGCATACAATATCCTAACATATTTCTTTTCCTGGTGAGTACTCTAAAGCCTTTTTGAGGTGAGTTCAACGTCTTAAATTATTTTTTGATATATCTAGCATCCCAAATTACTAAATGTAAAATTACATTATAAAATACTTTAAGGTATTAAATACATGTTAACTTATTTTTAAAAATATAACTATGCAACATATATGTTATATACAGACATTGGATGTTGAATTTCAAGAAATATTGTAATTTGATCCCTTTCTTGCTGCAAGAGTCATCTCCCGTCCTCCTACTTTCCACTCTCGGCCACTTTATTCTCGTGATGTAGAATCACATATATGACTACACTACAATATTATTAAAAAAATATCCTACAAATACTTCTTTAAGTGATATTTTAACTCGTCTAATAATTTTTGTTAAAAAATATATAATTTCTTATGATAGTCAATGCATGTAAACACATACAAATATGCGTGCTAAATTAAAGTCTATAATATTGGCCAAGTAAAGCAAGAAACCCTGCCATTATATTTAGAATTACGTTCATGAGTATTTATAAATATGTAAGTTAAGATAAATTTTTTTTATAATTTATCTCGTATTTCGTAAACCACAATTGAAAAGCTGTATGCAGTCATTTAAATGAATCCTAAAGCAGGTGACAATGTATTTCTCTTTTTAGTAAAAATTTGTAAAGGTATGTGATTTTTTTTTTGGGTGATGCGATTTGTTTTTCTTTACTATGCATTTAAATTTGAAACCAATGTCGTTGCCTATTGCGGCCATGAGTATTGCAATACTCATCTTGCAGTGAAACATTCAAATATATATATATATCTAAAATAATGTTAATAGTCCAGATTTAAAATTTTCAACTAATAATTCTTAAATAAAAGTTTTTTTATTAAAAAAAAACTAACAGTGAGATATTATTTTTATTTTTGAATTAAGTACCTATTAAATAAAAAATTAAAAAACAAAAATATACAAAATTAAATATGGACTACCCATATTAAATCTGAATAATCTGAGTAACACGGTGAGGTTCAAAACTGATGAAAAAGTTACATTTGGTGGGATCAAGCAATGCTCCTTAACCTTTTCCTCCTTTTCTCCACTGTTAAATCATCAACTTTCCCACTTCTTGTTTTTTTTCCCTCCCAACTTCTTTAACCCTTTCCTCTTTTTCTTTATAATTGACAAGTTCTGGATTTTCCATTCATGACTAATTTTGGAAAGACTTGATTTAATTATTTATATTTATAATATAATAATAAGCATTGAGGGAAAAAAATCCATAAGTCACAACTCAGGAAAGTATAGATCTTCGTAACATCAAAATTTGGCATCTTTAAAAGAGACGTATCAAAAACTATCACAATAATTGGATTCAGTGAAAAATAGATTTGATTTTCTTGATTAAGAATGATAATTTTTTTAAAGTGAAGAAATGTATGTTGTTTCACTTGATATGCATGCATATGTGTGTGTAAAAGAGAGTTAAACGTATAAGGGTAATAAGATAAAATATTTATAGTCTTTCTATAAGTATTTACGGTGACATACAAATAACAGATGAATTGGAAATTTAATAATTTAGGAGAAGTTAATTCATACATCGTTGAGACCGTAAAATACAGAGCGCTTTTGTGTCGCGCGGTGACTTGGTCCACGCCAGCCTCCATCTGGAACCACAATCGCCGCGTCTTTACTTGTATGATTCTTATTTAGAGGGTATTTAGATAACAACAAAATCATAGTTTCAGAAGTACTTTTACGATATACGAAGTAAACATGTGAAGGAGTTTATCTTGATTCACAAAAAAATGCTTCTAAAAAAACACTTTTAGAATTAGCCAAACACCCTTTAGTCCTCTTCTTATGTATCCTTAGTTATAAATAGTAAAGCACAGTGAATTGAGAGAATAAATCACAAAGAATTATAATGAGGTTTTAAGGAAAAAAAATAGTTACAAAATAAACCGTAGAGATTATTATTATTTATTCTAAAACTTGTCCTTATAAACTACTTACGTTGTTATTAAAGCTTGTTAGTAATTATTTTTTTAAAATCTTATCATAATTCTCCTGATAAATAAATGGTGGCACTTAAGCAACAAAGTGAATTGGACTCAGTAATTGAACTAACAATCATTTAGTTTTTTATTTAAAGGCTTGCATGACAAGGAAAGATCGAGTCCTAAGAAACCTCTTTAGTAAACTTAGTAGAAAGAATTTATAAAAAAAATTATGAATTTAAAAAACAAAATAAATTGAGTGGAACTGATAATATGAATTATTTATCTTTTCTTGATGACAAAAAAATATTTATATTTTGTTGAAGGGACGGAGAAGAAGAAGTGTGGATGAGGAAACAGTTGAAAAAGCCACGTATGAGAGTGGTGGACCCGACATGTGGGAGTGAGGAGAAAGAAGGATTCATCAGAGAGAGTCACAGAGACAAGGGTTTGTCAAACACACACAGCCCCACTCTCTCTCTCTCATATAAATCTCTCTCACGCCTCCCTCTTTTCTCTCTTCTCATTCATTATTCAATATTCCAGCAATCCCCACGCCTCCCTCCTCACACCAATTTTTCCTCCTCCTCCTCCTGTCCACATGTGCGACGACGATTTGGGTCAAGTTTGCCATGTCCGACGACTCCCTCGTCGTCGAGATGCTTCTCCGCCTCCAACAGCCTCCGCCGCCGCCTCCTGACAAGACCTCTCCCTGTCTTCAACTCCACTGGACCGTTCGTCAGCGCCGTTCTAGGTCTGCTCCCAGACACGTTGGTGCCTCCGCCCACAAGAAAGATGAACCGACCAGAGCCAGCCCTACCACGCCTCTCTCCTGGAGCGGCGCCACCTCTGCCAGCGGTGGCGGTGCCGCTGACGGATCTGAAGAGTCCAGCCGTACCACAAAACCCCTCAAAACCTCAAGATCTAAGGTTCGCTGCTTCTCCTAACTTCTTTGTTTTTTCTCTTCTTGTTTTGTTTTTTTCTCTCTGGCTCTCTCGCCGGTGGCCGTTAGTCGGCGTGCCTGACGCATTCGGTTGGCGTGTCGTGTGACTTCGTTGAGCGGCGAGTGCACGACCCGGCAACTCTGTGTTTGCAAGTTCTGTCAGATTTTATCTTAATTTACGAAAATGCCCTTGATGGAATACGATTTTTACCTCGACGAATCCACGAGACGCAGTGATCCCAGTGGCCTCCGGGCAATGGGCAGCCACCATCTGGTCTCTCTGTTTTCGTTTTTTCCTTTTTTTTTTTTTTTTTCTTTTTCCTTTCTTTTTTTTCCATTACTCTCGCTCGGATTTATAATCGAGCTCCACGTGTTCGAAAATCCCTCGTGGCAGCTCAGTCACGTCACTCGCCGGAGCCTGGTCACTCCGATCAACATCGCCGCCGCCGTCTGTTTTCCCTTTCCTCAAATATTATTCACCGGGACGCCTTTTTTTAGAGGTTCCAACTGATGACTTTTCCTTCTTTCTTTTTCAATGTATGCAGAGAGAAAAATATTCTGATCCTATTAAACATTTCAGAGAAAATGGGTGACTTTCATTCAACGCATGGAGTCAGAGGCTTCAATGACTCTTATCTCTCCTTTTCTCGCCACTTTTACGCGCCGTGTCACGCCTTGTCCTCAAATGACGATAACACCCTTCCAGCTAAGGGCATTATCGTCAAGTCATGGATTGTCAAATCCGGGGGAGTAAAAAAATGCCGTGCATCTATGTAGGTTCCGAAAAACCGAAACTCCCTCGGATAGTCGCATACACCGTACTAACTTAACTGACTCTGACACGCTCATTCACTTTCACCTCTGTTAGGGGTACTTCTGTAAAATCACCCGTGTAGCCTGCCTTTTTTGGTTTTTTGATGGCGTGTTTCCGCGGCAAATGGGTCTGCGTGAAGTTTGGTGTGTTATTGGTGGTGGTTGTGCACTTTTAGGGCATTCGCAATGCTTCGTAAGGATTTGGGGCGGGGTATGATTCGGTGTGATCTGGCACACGGCATGGAGCTAGTTCCCTACGGACGAATGTTGGTTCGTTATCGTTTCATTCCCTGTCTACGTCGTCGTTTTACACGCAAGGGTAAAAGACAAAATGTGGAGTGTCTGTTGCTCAGTGAAGTAGTCTCTCTGCATGACAGCTTGATCGCAACCCTTGGGTTTCGTGGGAAACATGACAACGTTAAATATTTTAACAGGATGCTTTGGGGCGAAAAGTCAAAACGCTGGGAAAGTTTTTAATGCGGGGGACTGTAATTCTTGAGAATGACAGGCTGTTATTCTGCCCTGTTTATATTTTGGTAGGGCCCGTTAGGTCAGAAATCACAGGTTTGTTCTTTTGCCATCTGGGATTGAAAGTCTAAAACCCAGGGAAATGAAGCTGCCTTTGTCTTGTTTTGGGGCCATGGAGACCGAAACCGCAAAGAAGGCGAAGAAGAAGAAGAAAAATGGGCGGTTCTTATCTCTATTCCACGCAAATGGTTGGTAAGAGCCATTTGATTTGGGTAGTTCCCCGAGTGGGGACCACTTTTGTCACCAAATTGATGGCACGAAGCTACTTAAGCTGGCTCGTTGGTCATTGGTGTTTACTAATCTTAAGCATCGCTATCAATAATCAATCACTCACCCTCTTCGTTAGAACGGAAGACACGCATCACACATGTATTTCTTCTTTTGGATTTGATCTGAAAATAAAAGGTATTATCATCTCCGGAGAATCCTCTCCTTCTCTCACATTTGTCTAACTCATCATCCTTTTTATCACTTGCTATTCTCCAGCAATCGGTGCCAAGTAGAGTAGGTCTCTCTCTCTCTCTCACACACACACACGCACACACACAAAACTTTGTTTAATCTTTAAAAAAAAAAAAAAAAAAAAGGTCGGCGCTCGTCTTGTCTTGTGTGTATTACTTACTACATACATGACTGGGCAAAAAACATAGACTGGTAGAATTGAAAAAAGAGACGACATTACTTGAAAATGTAGTACATCGAGTACCGTGTTATGCAGAAAGATGCTATCGAATGGTGGAGTTACATTCTTTATTTCTTGTTTGAGATCAGCTTAACACTTTCTTTTGGCCCTCTAATGAAAATTTTGTCGATTCTACCTTCCAGTCTTCCACAGTCCCACTTAGGGTACTCCCATTCACATTCTGTACCTCTTTAATATGTGGCATACAAAGCCTGTCATCGTGACAGATTTCAATTTTTTTTTTTTTTTGGGACTCTGGTTTTCAATATTCTAGAATGATTCTTAACTGTGTGCCTTTTTTTTCGCCAATTAAAAGTGGTGTTAATATTTGTTGTCCCATTCTTTCAATGCATATAAAGATATAATTGATGTCTTGCAGGCCGCTAATCCGAGCGAAACAACCACCACCAAGAAGTCTAGAAGAAAAAAGGTAAAATATGAACACGCTTAGAAATTTGTATTTTCATCTTCTCCTTATTTGAGAAATTCAGGTTACTGTGATACGCTGTGGAATTCCTAGAATGAGTTTAGTATGGATCAAGGATAAGATGCTGTCGCCTGAATTCCCTATGATACTATGAACAAAAATATAACAAATATAAAATGGAAAAGAGAAGTAAATGATGTGAGAGCTCGTGACAGAGCAATGGGAGACATTGAGAGCCAGTTAAGCGGGTTTCTTAAAATTTATATAATTTGCATCGTCTGCCCACTTTGTAATTGAATTGACTTGTCAACAACTAAGGACAAGTTTTTCAATGGTGGCAAGCAGTCCTACATTAAATATATGACTCGATGGTTTAATATCTTTCTAAAAGAAACCTACTGAGGGAGATACTTTTGCAGCTCAACCTGTAAGGTTGCTGGTTCTAGGCAATAGTCATGAAAATAATGCTTAGATGAGCCATAATATCATATATTGTGAACTGGTGACTAGCGAGCGGGTTTATGTCCTCCTTTTCTCCTCTTTCACCTCCTTCTGTAATCTAAAGTGGAAGAAACCCTTTAAATGTGTCTGTCTGAGAAACCCTTTAAATGTGTCTGTCTGTTCATACTTGATAATTGCGCTGTCTTGGCTACCTGCTTGCATGCATATATTAATGTTAACCTTCTGTGTTTGCAGACTTTAGCTGAACTGAAAGAGGAGGAGAGTGTGTTGTTAAAGGAACGGAGAAATCTGAAAAGTGTATGTCCCGTAATCGCTTGCTGGCTAATTGCTGTTGCTCGAGTCCTTGATCCTTCTGATTGGAGCTAGTTCTTATGTTTTGCTTATTGTTACTGTTGTAACTTTTGAACAGGAATTGGCATCCCTGCGTCTCACTCTAGAGAAACACAGGGCAACAAATGAACGCCTAAAGAAAATGAAGGTGACATTCCTGTTCTTATTCTTTGCTACTTAAATACAATGATTTTCTGTTGGCTCTGATGCATTTTTATGTTTGTTTGAACCTACTGGGAAAAATATAGATCAAAGTGAATGCGTCATAGATTCTTCCCTTATTTTATGTTTGATAGGTTTAAGAGTACAATATATTAGAATAAGAATGTAATTATTCCTGAATCTGCTGTTTCAACAGGTTGATTGGGAGTCAAGACAACACTTGAAACACGATACAAACCCAGGGGCATCCGACAGGGCCATGGTCGACCAACCTCAGCCTATGGACACACAGTGTCATACTTCTCATTCTGTGTCTCCGACAAGTGTACCACGAGTTGTGGTTGATAATACATCATGTGTCTCCCCAGCAAATGACTCTTCCGAGCTTCAGGAGATTAATAAACAAGAAGCTTCCTTCGTGCTGCCTGATCTAAACCTGCCCGTGGACGAGGATGTAAGCCCCATTTCTACACATGGCTTAAGCTAATAAAGAAATGGACGTTCACAGTGTTATAGACCAAGATCATTTCTCCAACTATGCGTCGTCATAAGATATATAGAACATGTCAGTCCTGACTTTGTAGGTTGTTCTAATGATATCGTAGGTGCAGTTTCGTCACTTCTTTTTAGTACGAGGAAATGTTTTTTTGATTTATGAAAGTGCCGTGGGTAGTGTAGAGATTGCTAACATCATTGTTCCATAACTTCAATTCTTTTTTTCCCCTTCTCACAGGATTCTGTGTTGTCCGAAATTCTAATGGGCAACCCTGGATCCGTCCTCATCATCATATTACTATATACATTAATGTAAATCACATATTTAGATAATTCAACTGTTCTGTTTCTCTTTTTTGCTGTTCCTCTTTCAAGATTTATGACGTCTTCATCCCACTTCAGAATACAAATATTCTTGTGGAGAGTGGTCAATATGGTTAAAGCACAAAAAAAGAAAAGGCAAAGGCACCTGTACGATCTGCTTTGATTTCCTATGATTTGTTATGAATTTTGGGCCTCTGGGCTTCATGGTATTAGTTGGAGACACAGTGGGCCGCGATTTCGGCCTGTGGACTTCTCTCCATCTTGATGACGGTACTTCGTGTAAAACGTGGGCCTGGGAATTCCTGAATAACTCTGTATTATTATTCAGATTATTCAACTTCAATGTACTACATCAAACGCCTATTTATCCTATACGAACTGGGCCTTACAAGAAATAAGGCCCAAGGCAAATAATTAAGTCCAAACAGAATCCTAAATTCTAAGTACAAAATTATTTATTCCTAACAACCTAAATTACAGACTTCTATTCTCAACACTTCGGATTTTACTTGCTAGTAATCGTTCTCGGTTTTCTTACGAAAAGGCAGAGCAAAAATTTTGAAGTTTTTTGCCCTTTTGGGGGCAAAATTTGCCATTTTGAAGTTGAAATTCTAACTTATTCAAATTTCTTTTCGGGCTTTCGGAGAGCTCTTAGTGCTTTTCTTTTCTTGTCTTTTTACAGGGGTCAAATGAAAAGCACATACGTATTTCAATATTCTATGATCTCCCTCTTAGGTGTGTTTGGATGAAACCAAACCATGGTTTGAAAAATAGCTTTTAGAAAATAGATTTTTTGAAGAATAGATTTTATAAAAAAGTGATTCTGAGAAGTGAGAGTGTTTGAATAGTTGTTATCAGAAGCACTTTTTATATATACAAATTACTAAAAAAAATACATAAGTTAATATGATAATTACAGAAAAAATAGATTTTATGATATATTTTAATTTGAAGGAATAAAATTGTTAATAATATATTTTTTACCAACATAATTAATAATACATAAGATAATATAATTAATAAATAATTAATATGTATATATATCTATAAAATATAAGATTAAATATGTTTATAAAAAATATGTTTATAAAAAAAATAACAAGATACATATCCTATAGGTTCTCACACTCTCTTTTTTCTCCAAAAGCAAAATTTTTTTGCTTTTTCCAAAACCATGGTTTTGGCGCCAAAACCATGATTTTGGCCCAGAATCATGGTTTTGGTTTTTGGGTGGGTGTTTGGGTGATTTATTCTCCAAACCATGGTTTGGGGTGTCACCCAAACACAGCTTAAGTTGGTGTCACTGGACTCCTAAATGCTTTTGAGGTCAATTTGAATTGAAACACTTTTATTTTGGAATTAAATTAGAGTTAAAATATAATTTACATAATTAATTATTGTATATATGACCAGTGTTATTATTTTGAGTTAGCATCATTTTTAGTTCCTAAAGTTTGATCTGGTTTTTATTTTAATGTGTAAAATTTAAAAGAAGTGGTTTTAGCCCCTGAAACTTAACTTCCATTTTGATTCATTTGAAGATTTTTAACTGTTTCAAATTTTAGGGATCAATAAGAGTAATATCAAAACCTATTATTTTTTCAATATACGATATTGAAAAAAAAAGAAAAAGGAAGAAGATGATTTTGGCAGGTGAAAGAAGAGGAAAGAGAAAGTAGGAATTGGGTGGGGACGATTATGGGATTTGCCTTTTTGAGGATTGAGTGTACTAACAGAAAGATCCCAGTGTACCCGGGATCATCGGTTATTTCCCAATGGTCAAATACCCCATCCTATTCTTCTTTACTTTTTATTTATTTATTTATCTTTTAAAAAAGATTCTCCCTCAGCAGTCCCCAGTGTCATGAATCATGAGAACTGGGTTTTAATTAAATAATTATAATTTATCCCTGGTTCAAAATTAGGAAGATTGACCATAAATCCTCCCTTGAAAATCTATTTAAAGAATGGTCCCTAAAATTTCCTCTTCTCACTTATTAAATGTTAAGGGCAGTTTGGTCTTTCTCCCATTATTTTTAAGTCCTCATACATTTACCAGGTTTTAGGGGACTGTTCCTCAAATAAATTTTCAATCGGGCATTTATGTTTAATTTTTCCTCAAAAATTTTATAAGGAATAAATACCAACTTTCTCAATATTAAGAAAAATAGGTTAAATTAGTTATCAATTTCAAATGTGCAAATAGATTTTTTTTAAAAAAAATTTCCTCATAGTATCCATGATCTCTGATCTACTCAAGCTTGCATGAAAAATATAAAAGAATGTTTCTTTCCTCTCTTCGATAAGAACAAAAATAGGAAAAAAAAAAGGCTTTAATTTGAACAATATGTTCCTTATACTAAAAAAACTAAAAAAAAAAACATACTTCCTCTTTCAGTCTTTCCTCTTGTTTGAGAAAAGAAGTCAGGCTTAAATTTACAGGGAAGTCTATTTTTAAACAAATAAGTTAGGCCTTCTTCCTTACACACATACAAGATTACAAGTAGAAAGATTGGTAAACTTGGGTTAAAACACAAGAAAAAAATATCTGGTCTCTTGAATTTATATCATGCCTTTTCCTTTTTGTTCTTTGGCTTTACAAATCTTTTGTTTGATCCTTTAACTTCTAAAATAATGTCAAAATTTTCCTGGTTTTCCAACGCCATCAAATCATAAATAATATTTATGTGCAATTTTTTCAAGGTAATTAGAAATAAAATTCATTTCTTATTATTTATTTATTTATTATATCTCACCTTTAAAATTTTTCTTATAAAATATTAATTTCCTAATTTTTACGCTTCATCTTCCTTACTAATTCTAATTCACTGATACCAAATGAAATATTATAATCATTTCAGTTTTTTTTTTCTTTCTTACCAAACAAAATTACCCCCCCCCCCCAAAAAAAAAACATCTTAGAAGGCTTTCCTTCATTTACGTTATAATCAACCACATTTCTTGAAAAAGACCTGGCTAGTAATTAAATCCCAGGGAGGAATTATCTATACTTCAAAGAATTTAATTCAAGTGCTTGTTATTATCCATATATATATATATAATAATATTTGGTTGAAACTATTTTAGCCTGTGGCTAAAAAAAGAGAGGCGATTTTAGTCGAATAATATTTGATTTTTGCAATTGAGTTAGCTGCCTCTAGCAAACAAGTTATGAAGCCTAAATTATTACTCCTCCGGTCCTAATTATAAGACCCAGTTGACTTATTTGAGGAGATTAAGGAAGTAAGTTAAGTTGGTTATTTATAATAAATAAGTGTTGTCATTCCTAAAATATCCTTGCTAATTAAGTATATTAGCTAAAACTATCATTATTAGAAGGATTATCTTGGAAAAAATGCATAAATATAAGAGACAAAATGGATTGGGGTCTTATAACTAGGACCAAATAAAAAGTCAAATGAAGTCTTATAATAAGGACTGGAGGAGTATTTTGAAGGATTTTTCGACTTCGGTGCAGCGCGATGGAAGCAATGATCTAATTTCCAACACGCTTAAAAAGGGGCTTGTGTGATGAAGCTCTTTACCTTTTTATAGTTATTAATTTTCATAATCATAAATAAATATTGAGAATTAAATTAATATTACCTCCGGTCCTAATTATAAGAGCCAGTTGACTAATTTGAGGAGATTAAGGAAGTAAGTTGAGTTAGTTATTTGTCCTAAATAGATGTTGTTTTTTCTAAAATATCCTTGCTAATCAATTGTATTGACTAAAACTCTTATTATTAGAAGGGCTATTTTGAAAAAAAATGTATAAATATGAGAGACAAAGTGGATTGAGGTCTTATATTTAGGACCAAAATAAAAGTCAAACGAGGTCTTGTATTAAGTACCGGAGGTAGTACCTTTTGGATTAATATATTGTTTGACACTTATATTATAAACCCTCATCTTGATTTTAGACTTATAGTTTTAAATTATAATTTTAGTTTCTCAAAAAAGCAAAATAATATAAGATTTAATGTTTTAGTCCCTAACGTTTGATCTCACGAGACTTTAGGTTTCTAAAATTTAAAATCAACAATTTCAGTTTCTAAACTTTGATTTTATTTTGTTTCGCCTAAATATTTTTGGCTCCTAAAAATGCTTTCAAGAATTAAAATGATTGGTTTTAAATTTTAGAAACCAAAATTAAAATAAAGTGAAATTTGAGTGAATAATTTTTTTTACTAATTACAAGGGTTAATATAATTTTTAGTCCCTGAAGTTTGCGTTTATTTTAATTTTGATCTCCCAAGTTTCAAACTATAGCTTTGGTCTTTTTAGAAGTAAAATGATCTAAGTTTTTATTAAATTATAGGAACTAATATTTTAAATGAAAAAAAATTTAAGAAACCAAAACTTATAATTTAAAACTTGAAAAATCAAGATCAAAATAAAAATAAATTTAAAACACTAAAATTTGCATTAACTCTAATTATAATTAAATAACCTAACATGATAAATATAAAAAACTTGATGTAAGGCAACCATCGTGCAGATCATGTTATCTATTTATCAATTATTAAATAATTAATATATAAATTATTAGCAGAGAGCAGATGAGATGGCATTAAAACAAAATAATTTAGGGGGACTGAAATCAATCAATCAATCAATCAAAGTTTGCTACGCAAATCAAATCTGAGCTTTACCAAAGTATGGCGGATTGGCAGGGCGAGAGGTGGTGGTAGCCTTCTCCCTCCCTATTCCTTCCTCTCATGATCCTCCTCCTCCTCTCTTCCATTCATCTACCGTCTGACACGCAATCATCCTCTCCCTCTCTGTACATTATTTATTTATGGGATTCCTGATAATGTGCCATCTTCATGGGATTTAATTCTTTGTTTGTACTTTACGAGGAGGACGATGATGACTGGTTTTCGGTTCTCCCATTTTGAATATAAATTAATTAGAACCTCTTTCTTAAATCAACCCATATGGCTTCTCGCTTTGGCTTCTCTAGGAACGAAAAAGATATGCAGAAAATGTTGTGCTATGTTAGTGATTCTGGTTTTTCAATTCCCTACCTTG